TTCTATTTCCTCTTTTAATTCTGTTAGTATTTGTTTTACATGTTGGTGCTCCTGTTTTGGGTGCATAGATATTTATAATGGTTATATCCTCTTGTTGGATTAACCCCTTTATCATTATATAATATCCTTCTTTTCTCTTGTGACTTTCTTTGTTTTGAAATCTATTTTGTCTGGTACTAGTACTGCAACACCTGCTTTTTCCTCCTTGTTGTTTGCATGAAATATCTTTTTCCATCCCTTGACTTTTACTCTGTGTATGTCTTTGGGTTTGAGGTGGATCTCTTGTAAGCAGCATATAGATGAGTCTTGTTTTTTTATCCGTCCTATTACTCTGTGTCTTTTGATTGGTGCATTCAGTCCGTTTACATTTAGGAGGATTATCGATAGATACGTACTTACTGCCATTGCTGCTTTGGATTCGTGGTTTTGTGATTGTACTATTCATTTTTCACTCCCTTTTTTCCCTTTTTTTAAAACCTTCTTTTAGATAATTTTATTATTTCATTTTCTCTCCTTTGTTGGCTTATTACTATACCTCTTTGTTTTGTTGAGGGTTTTTGTGGTTTTGCTAGGGTTTATGTTATATATCTTTAACTATGAAAGTCTATTGTGAAATAAAAGCATAACCCTTTCATGTATATATAAGAACTTACAACAGTATGCTTCCATTTTCCCTGTGTGGCCTTTATGATATTATTATCATTCATTTCACTTTTATAAAACTCAGCCATACATTGCTACCATTTTTACTTTAAATACTCATTAGTCTCTTAAAGAGATTAAATATAAGAAAATATTGTTTTATATTTACCCACATATTTACCATTTCTGGTAGTTTTGTTTCTTTATGTAGTTCCATATTTCCACTGGGTTATCATTTCCCTTCTGCATGAAATGTTTCCTTTAACATATCTTATAGGGAAAATCTGCTAATCATGAATTCTTTCAGCTTTTGTACATCTCAGATATTCTCTATTTTGCCTTTGGTTTTTGAAATATATTTTGCTTTCTAAGTTGACAGTTTTTTTCTTTCCGTACTATAGAAATATTGGGCCAGCATTCTGGCTTGCATTGTTTCCTGTGAAAAATTTGTTGTCATTCTTAATTTTATTCCTCTGCATACAGTATGTCTTTTTTTTTCTTGTCTACTTTTAATATTTCCTCCTTATGTTGGTTTTAAACAATATGATTAAGATATGCATTGATATAGCTTTCTTCAAATCTTATGCTCAGAGCTCATTGAGCTTCCTGGATCTGTGGAATTAACAGTTTTCACCAAATTTTGAAATTTCTCAACCAATGTCTCTTAAAATGTTTTTTATGGTACCCCCATCCTTGCCTCTCCTTAAGGAACTCCAATTTCACATATATTAGGCCACTTGAAGTTGCCGCAGCTCATTGATACTTCGTCTGTTTTCTTCAGTCTTTCTCACACTGGATAATTTCTATTGCTGTGTCTTCACATTCACTAATTTTTACTCCTGCAGAATCTAATTTGATTTTAATCTTGTCCAGTGCATCTGTCATCTCACATATTTTTGTTCTCATCTCTAGAAATTTGAATCTTTCTCTACATCCTCACCAACACTCATTATTCCTTGTCTTCTGGATAATAGCAATTCTAAAAGGTGTGAGGTGAAATCTTACGTAGTTTTGATTTTCATTTCCCTGATGATTAGTGGTATTGAGCATCTTTTCATGTACCTGTTGGTGATTTGTATGTCTTTTTTGGCAAAATATCTATTTAGATCTTCTACACACCTTTTAATCAGCTTGTTTGGGGTTTTCTTGTTTTTTCTTTTGTTTTGTTTTGCTATTAAGTTACATGAGTTCCTTATATATTTTGGATATTAGCCCTTTATCAGATACATGTGTTGCAAGTATTTTTTTCCAGTCAATAGGTTGCCTTTTCATTTTGGTGATGGTTTCCTTTGCTGTGCAGGAACTTTCCCTACATTTCATAGTGATAAGCTTTTTACATTTTGCTTTAAATCTAGACTTTAATGCTTACTAGTTTAGCTAATTAGCTGCAGAATCTTAAGCCAGTCATTTAACATCTATGTGCCTGAACATACTCATCCATAGATTGAAGATAGTATCTCTCTCCTAGTGTTTGTTTTTAAAATTAAAGTTAATGTCAGTAAAGGCATGTGACTGTTTTTCTAGAATTTGTGGTGATTATTATCAAGTACTTCCAATAGCACTATAAATACTGTAATGTTTTTTCTATTTTACAGAGAAGGTTATAGAAGCACAATTTGGGTCAGTTGCTGCCACAAGATATCCATGTTCATGGACATTAAATCATGGATTTAAATTAAATCTATCTAAAACCAACCACATACCTATCATGACCTCCTAAAAATCCCTAGAATTTCCTATCTGCAATTCAAAATTCACATATTCTGTTGTTGTTTTTTTAAGTCTCATTGCTTTGCACCTAAAGTTTACTTTAAATTCTCAGATGAGAAAGTAAGAACTGAGGACAACTTGATGCCTCCATTTGGCCCCCTTGTAAGTCACACACATTCTGGACCTAATAATAAGATATGGAAGGCAGCCATTATTGGCTGATAACCGTTAATTAATTATATGTCTCAATTTTGCCAAGGAAAATTTTCTTTATTAAAAGTCCCCAATTTAATAAAATAAAACCAACCCTCCTTTCACCAACCATAGCAAAAATATTCTGGAAATATTGATATGTATTCTTTCCCACATGGGATTGTCACTATACTTAAAGTGGGACATCCACATTTTCCTTTTTCTTATCTTCTACTTTGAAAGGCTTTGAATTTGGGATCAACTGTAAAAGCTAAATCGAACATAAATATCTCCATTTATATAGAGACTTCCCATAGAATTTAAAATAAAACTTGAACTTCTTACAATAGCCTATAAAACAATTTTGATCTTGCTCTTGCCTCTCTCTCTTATCACATATCTTGTACTATTTCTAGTTATACTGGCTTTTCATTATGCTTCCTGAAAAGGAAACACTTATTTATGCCTCAGGTCCTTTCCCCTTGCTATTCATTCTACCTGAAACGTCTTCTCCCAGCTTTCCACCTGGATTTCTTATCCCTCTTCCTTCAGACCTCAACTCACCTCTTCAGAGAGCACTTCCCTGATAATGCTATCAGGGAAGTCTACTTTAAGTAGACTGTCCTTTTCCTGACTAGTTACTCTCCATAGCATCACTCCATTTATCTCCTTCCTGGATATAATGTGCCACTGACTGAAGTTATTTTGCTTTTTTTTTACTTGTTTATTACCTATATCTTTTTATATGAATTAGTGTGCACCTGGCTGCACATACTAGAAGCCTCCAATTCACTTTTAAAAAATGAAACTTATTATCTCACATCCCTAGAAGTCTAGCAATATGGAAGTGTCTAGGCAAGGGAGGATGAGAAGTTAAAAATGACATTCAAGTACCCAAATTCTTACAGTCTGTCTGCTCTAACAACTTTTTCATCTAGTTTCATTCTCCTTGCTTCCCTTGTGGTTGTAAAATGTTTGCAGTCATTCCAGGTGTCACATCTAGACACAACAAGGTCCACAGGGAAAAGATGCAATCTTTTCCTGCATTGTTCCTAAAAATTCTAGGAAATCTTTCCCCACAGTCCCCATTAGATGTCCTTTGATTTTTCAGTAGCCGGTATTGGGTCATTTGCATGGAGATGATTTAGACCTATCACTCATAACAGAAAAGATGTTGGAAGGTCAACCACCATAACCACATAAAATATCACTAGAGCTTCAGGATGTTGTCTATGTTGTTCACAGCAGTATTTACAAAGCCTAATGTAGTACTTGGCATACAATATGTGCTCAATTAATAAGTGAGCCCATTTAAATAACTATGAAAGGAGAAAAGTGGCATTTATTGAGTACATACTAAGTGCTAGGCACACAACATGATCTTCATTATAATTTGCTTCTCGAAACAATTTTATTAAAAAGGTATTATTTCCCTTTTACTCAAAGGAAACTTGTACTTCAGAAAGTAATAAATTTGACCAACATCACAAAGCTAGTCAGTCACAGGACTGGGATTAGAAACTATGGGTTTGTGGATCTAAATGCCACACATTTCTCACTATAAGATAATTAACAAAAGGTATTCTTTCCCTTTCAGAAACAACTGGACAAACCAGTGTGGATCCCATCCATGTGAAGAATAGCTAAAAAAAAATCTGGTTAAGTTCATTCTTAGCCTAGGAAAGTTATCAGGAAACCAGAACAGTCTTTCACTGATATTAATGAAATTTTACATCTCATAACTTATCAACTGTGTTCTCTAAATATGTAGTAAAAATTGGGCAAGGGGCAAAGTGAAAAGGAATTTTTTTCCCCTTAGTATTAAAGTGAGTTCATAGAAGAAGTGTTTGGTGAAGTGTCTGGTGGTGAATACTAAGTGAAAGGGCAAGCTCAACATAGCCTTAGAATCCTGGATAAAACCCTGGTGTCCTAAAAGCTAAACTGTAGGAAATCTGGAAGGACCGGTCTATTTCTGATTTGGCTGTGTATCCTCAGAAGCTTGCACATACTGGGGTCCTAATAGAAATATGTTGACCCCATGTATGCATGTACAATCATTCAATCCACAATTAGGGATAAAACTGTACCAACAGGAGCTACAAATAAATATCCCTAGCTTTCTATGAGTACTCCCATCTTTCTATTGCCTTCCTCTGGGGAAAACAAAGAAAGACGGCTTTCTATGAGTACTCCCATCTTTCTATTGCCTTCCTCTGGGGAAAACAAAGAAAGACGGCTTCAGTATTTCAAATACTGCAAATTCAGCGGAACACTAGCAAAGGGGTCACCTTCGGGACACAAGGAACTAGAAGGCCGATAGGCAGTCTTTGAAGTTACCCTAATTCCCAGCAAAGGGCGCGACTACTTCCTGAGCCACACCGGAACCTCTTGGCGAGATATATGGGTTCCAGAGGGAAGGATTTAGAAACAGGACCGCTTCCTGCTGCTGGCGAGGGGCGCGGGGTGGGGAGGAAATAGCTTGAGGAGCAGCATCCTGCTTTCGCTAGCGGTGGCGGAGGAGGAGGCAGAGGAGGCTGCTGCAGTGCCGGGGCCGGTAAGTTAGCGGTCTTGGAGCAGGGGACAGAGGACAGCGCCCAGAGCGCTCCTTGCAAGTCACTAGTCCCAAGTTGCCGAGGTGCCTGGTGGGGTAAAGGGGTTGTGCTTCGCCTGTCGAGAAGGGGCTGTTGGAGCTCTGGGGCTGGGCCTGACGGGGCACCAGGCTGCGCTCTAGTGGGCTGACAGCCCTGCCCCGGAGCCAGGAGGCGCTGGACAGCTTCCCCAGACGGGCTGGAATCCGGGGGAGGAAAATGGGTACTGTGCGTCCCATTTAATTCTCGGGACCCAGCGAGATCTTGTCAGGTGGGTGGAGGACATTGTTTGGGGGACCGAGGGATAGGCTTGTAAAGAGAATGTTAGTCTGGAGCCATAGTTTCCCTGCCCTGTTCAACCTGCCCGGACTGTCCGGAGCGGAGTTGTTTTAAAGGCAAATGCCTCCTCCGATCTGTCGCTCCGGGACAAGCTAACAGCTTTAAGGTCTATTGTTAAAGCAGTGTGTCCTCCTCTGCGTTCCATCATGTTAGTACTACTGTACGTATCTAGTGAATGTTCTTTGGGTATACTTGATGGTGAGGCCAAAATTAAATGTCTCCGAGCACTTTTTGAAGAGACGCAAGACTAACCTAGCAATTGGGACGATTTAGCGTACTTTCTCTTGCCTTCACATGTAATCATTTTGGCATTCAGAGTGAGGATAGTCATCAAAGGTACTAGGTAAAGGTTATGATTGTGCATCTGCAAAAGGCCTGTAGTATAATAGAGTCTAAAATTATTTCATCACTGAACGAAATGATTATATAACGATTGTTACTGGAAAGATCAGAAGTAGCTTTTATTAAATTACTGCTTTTCTGTCGTCTTAGGTTCGGCTTTAGAGTGTGGTGAATGGTACTTTTCATGGTGCATGGAAGGAAAGCCAATGCGCAGGTAGGCATTTAGGAAGAAAGCCTTAGGTTTCACTTATTAAAATTCAGCACACAGTAATTCAGGGCTTCATTTAAATTTTATATAAAGGCTTTCAAATCTTACCAAATTCTGCTTGGAACTAATGTCTGTTTTCTAAAATCAAAGGTAGTATCAGGAACTAATAGCTTTTTAATAGAGTAATATATAGAACATAAATTTCTAAAGAGTGCAATGAATTTTATGTAGTTAACATTTAAATTCTTTTTGCATGGTAATTTTTTGATAAGTAATCATTGATTGTACTATGATACTATACAGTTTTATTATAGTCTTCAGTTCTCTATAGAATGTAGAGAGTTCTTTTGCCATACAAGAATAACAACTATTTATAATACACTGTACTGCATGTCTAATTATGGTTTGGGGTATTTCATTGATGTTCAGTAATACACCTGTTCTGTTAATTAAAATAGCTGCATTGCAGGGAAGATTGTTCAAGGACTAAAAATAAGTATTGGACATAATAACTTAGTCCATAGGAAAATAGAACAGTGTGGAAAAATATAGACAATTATAGGCCCTCCCAGCCCTAGAATTTAGTAATGCTTTTTCTCAATCTGTTCTAACAAATAAAAGTAGACTCCTTATTGAAACAAAACCAGCTCAGATCTATTTTTTCATTTTTAAATTCATTTTACTTTTATTGAACAATATCTAATTGTTATTTAACATAAAAAATAAACAGCATTGGCAGACCCTTTTAAGAGAATAAACACTTCCTGCTGGGGGCATGACATATTAGTTAGAACCAGGAGCAAGAACCAAAATATCTTTTTCCAAATATGTTACTGAGTTTTTGATTGACCTTGAGCTGTTCATTTTCTCTGTGCCCCAATTTCTCTAATGTATCTGATCAGGATATTTGGGATAATGAATGCTTGCAAATGCTTTTGAGAACTCCAGATGAAAAGATGTTATGGATGTAACAAATGCCATTCCCTTCTTTATATCTTACACTATAGTAGGAATAATATTTGACTGCAAAGCACATGCAGAAATTAACAACACGTCTGTTAAATGCTTTATCACTTACACTTTTAACATGATTGGGAAAACCACTGATGGCTTCTCATACTTAGCTGTCATAAATGTCATATCTTATATAATTTTTAAAATAAGAGCTTATTTTTAAATAGAAGGCACAGCATGGGAATGTTTTTGGTCTATTAGTAATCTCTATATAAAATATTCACTTAATCACTCATACTGTTTTTTTCTTGCCTTATTATATAATAATACCAGTTATTCAAAATCATGTTGGAGAATTCTGGTGCCATTAATTGTTAAGTTACAGCTCTTTCTTCATCGCCATTATTTGGCAAGAGCCTCGCCTACCCATTGCCCTCTGGTTTTACTGTTATCTGTCGCTTACATTAAGTCATGGTCACACTTCTCTGCTCTTCCCTTCTGGGGCTGTCATTCTTGCTGCTGCAACCTAGAAGGTGGTTTCTGTGAAGTAATGTTGGGTTCCTATTTAGCTGCTATTGCAGACTGAGAAGTAAATCTTTACATGCAGATTATTTGAATACATATTCATTGAGTGTGAGCTCTCATGTCTTCTATATTTTTGCATCCTTAGCACCTAATGAATATTGAATAAATATTTGAATGACTATTACCTGCAAACTTTACTTCGGGGAGGGGAAAAATACCTATGAACAAGAAATGAAAATTAGTGTTAAAAATATTCAGATTCTTAAAGTTTTATGAAATTGTTAGTGTTTTATTAGAAAAGCTTCATTGCATTCATTAACTAGCTTTATGTGTACATCAGACACAAGTTAAAAGATACAATAGGATTTTCAGTGAAAAGTAAGTCTCCCGATGTTGACCCCAGCTCCCAGTATGTGAATTTTTAAATTTTGATAGATACTGACAAATTCCCCTCCATAGAGATACCAATCTACAGACCCACCAGCAATGTGCTTCTTTTCCAAGATAGTGTTTTTAATCATTTATTTCATTTAGAGATACTAAAACATTTTGCAATGTAATTCTTCCATCTTTCCTTAAATATATAAATAGGAAACCAACCTGCTTTTATTAGGAGTTGGTTTATTCACTCACCAAACATTTATATAGCACTGGTTCTATGCCCGTGTATTGCATATATGCAGATGAAGTTGTTGGGAACCTTAGGTAGAAAGATAGACATAAGCAGCTGGGTAAGGGGAAGATAAAATTCACAAAAAAAGGCACCCAAACTCTGCCCAGGTAGGGGGTCCCATGTGAAGACAACAAAGGCCTTGCAAATCAGGACCAGGCCAAACCAGTCCTAATGAGATCCCAGTGTGAGCACATCAAACAAAACTAAGAACTGCCCAAACCATACCTCATCGTGGGAAACAACATGCTCACTGAGAGAACTGGCTGTATAGATAGATCTGTCAATCAAATAACCCCACCTTGTCAATCAAAGAGCGCCTCCTAGCCAGAATGTAATACAAAGGCCTCCTGCATAATGCAACTGGCCTTTGTCTACTTTGACTCAGACTCCACTCCTCCCTTGGAGTGTATTTAAATAAAACTTACACTTTGCTTTGCTACTGTGTCTCTGCCTTTCAATTCTTTATTACGGTGAGGACAAGAACCAAGGAGAGCAAACTCAACCCAGTAACAAAGGGGTAGAAAGAGATATAAACAGACACCATAATACAACATGGACAGGATTTTAATAGAGATGTAAATACAGAGGAGGGAACCTCTGCTCTGCAGAGATAAGGAAAGCTTCATAGAGATGGTGATATTTGAGCTGTATCTTCTAGAAAGAATAAGAATTTGCTTTAAAATAAAGAATGTACTTTAAAGGATAAGGGTTTAAAGAAGGAGTTAATAAAAGACACTGTAAACAGAAGGAAGAGCTGTGCCAAAAAAAAAGACACCAAGTACTGGAAGAGTATGACATGTATGGATTGGTAAGTATATCTGGAGTGTAGGGTATGTGGGGGAAGAAGAAGGGGAAATGAGGAAAATACTAGAAAATTGTTAGGGTCCAGGACTCTGGGGTTTCCCCAGAGAACAAGCCACACGGACACGGAGATGTAAATCCAAGCAAAGTCTTTATTCAGCCAGCAAGCTGGGGCCGACAGCACCTCCCCTGACACGCAGGCGGAGTCCGAGCTGCCGACCCCTAGGCAACTTTAGGTATGGATTATATAGGGTTTTCACAGCCGTTACACCGAAGCCCACGCATTTCTACAACCAATAAATTTAAAACACATCCTATATTGTAACCAATGGGAAACATTGTAACCTTTTAGGGAACACGCCAGTTGCCTGACCGCTTCAATTGTTACCTCTTGCTTACCCAAGTATGTCTACGTGACTTATCACGGATCACGTCCCCAGGCTGTTGCCCACTTCTAGTTATCTAACTTAAAGCAGGCGCATTTCTAAGCTTAGCCTCGGGTAGTTTATACAAAAACTGGGTGGTCTCGCTCTAGGCAGTCAGGTTAAGTGTTATTAGTCCTTTTTTTTTTTCTGACTCTCGATGCTCTCTGCCCTCCTTTACATTTCCCCTCTTTTCTAGATCAGACTAAGGAATCTTCCGCAGCGGTATCTACAGCCTGGTATTTTTTGGCGAAGGACCAGGAGTTGGACAGTGTCCAACCTCTCCTGCACAAACCTAAGCAGCCTGTTTATTATGCACGGGCCGATTGTAAGCAATAACAGCAGGATGACCAGTGGCCCCGCAACGGCCGAGAGGAGGGTAGCAAACCATGGCTTGTGGTTGAACCAAGACTCAAACCAGCCTTCGCTGCTTTCATATTCCTTACGCCGCCTCTCTAGATCTTTTTTTAGTTTGGCTAAGGAATCTCTGACTGCACCTGTCTTATCCACATAGAAACAGCACTCTTCTTTTAGGGCTGCGCATAGCCCACCTTCCTTTAAGAGCAAGAGGTCCAGGCCCCTTCGGTTTTGTAGGACCACCTCTGACAAGGAGGTGAGGGATTGCGCCAGGTCTGATATTGACTGTCGGAGTTGTTCTAGGTCCCTGTTGATTGCCAGCCTCAGGGCTGTGAGCCCTTTTTCCCGAGTTACAAGGGCTGCGACCCCAGTGCCTGCCCCTGCTATCCCTAGGGAGAAGAGGGTCCCAATGGTCAGGGCGGTAACAACCTCCCTCTTGCTTTGGTGGGGTCTCGGCCTTTCTTCCCAATAAGAAAGGAGAGATTCATGAGAATGATACATTAGGCGAGGTAGAATGGCCACCAGCACACAAAACTCACTGTTAGCATTGAACACAGAGGTGGATAGGGCCGGAGTGAGTCCTGTCTTTGAGCAGAGCCACCAGCCTGAAGAGGGTATAATCCACTTGTCCTGCTCCCACGTGGTGTTATTATAGGAGGAGCATAACTGGCTCTGGGCCGCCGGGACTGTGCCTACACACATACCAGCGACTGAAACCTGAGCGATCATAAGTCCCCACGGTTTCCTGTCCCAGTAGGTGGGATGGGAGTCGCTGATAGTGTAGGAGTCATTTATCCCGATTGCCTCATAGAAGGGGGGTGTACCTGAGTAGCACAGCCAACAGGGATCGGTGAGGGAGGGAGTGGTATGGTTAAGAGTCTCTACTACTGCCTGCACCATTTCCCACATGGGATTATCTAACCCGGAGGGAGCGTGCTGGGCTCCTAACTCAGAGGTTGATGGACCCGGTCCTCATGGGTTCTGGGGTAAGCGTTCCGGTCGGCATTTTCTCATCCTTTTGGCCCAGGCCCTTGTTTTGATTTGAAGGTTTCTGGGGAGTTATAACCTGGTTGGGACCTATGGTGGCATTGGGAGCTGGTGTGGGAGGTGACACGGTTAATTTAATGGTGAGGGTTGAGCCTTCTTCCTCATGTCTCCAAGATTTATAGTACCTTATCCCCCATGTTAGCCTGTTTATCCAACGCGATACCTGTCTTTTTGCCCATCCCAGTGAATTGAATTCGTACCCAATCCCGGTCCCGGTCACAAGCCTT